TGGGTTTCTTTTCCCGATCTGCTCTCTGCGTTCCCAGGCGTGGCCTCCTGGCTGGAATTCCTCCCTGGCTGCCAGTCCCGAGAGCCGTGTGTGATGTGAGAGCTCAGGGCGCTCAGGAGACAGAAGCTCCTTGTTCCTGGCTGCGCCGTCAGCACGGTTCCTGGGGCCATGAACAACACTGTGGTTTTGTCGCAACCAAACCATTGTTGGCTTCATGGTGATCCCAGCTCAGAAGAATGCTCCCACTGGGTGCAGCGGGCTGGGGAGGACGCAGCGTGCCTGCCTGTGCCCAGGCACATGCTTGTGGTTGGTGGCCGTGTGGCCTGCGGCCTGCAGACAAGGGTTGTTCAGGCCACGAGACTCTGTGGAGGTTGGAGAGGGTTTGGTTGCAGCTACTGTGGTTTATGGGGTGGAAGGGCTGGTGGAACCTCGGTGTTATTGCAGCTAAGTCTGGATGTGTTTCTTGTGCACCCCTAAGCCCTTGCTCTCGCTGCCTGGAGCAGACAGTGCGATGCCTTCAGTGCTCCTCGGTCATGCACAGGCTGCAGACCGTGCTGGTGGAGACCTCCAGTCAGGGAAGCAGGAATCAGACACTGGGAATCTTGGAGGGGAAAAAAAGTGTCATCACTTATTGTCGTCACAAAAAAGGTCAGTGCCTGACCTACTGCTGAGCTGGGAGGGCATTTTAAGTGTTATCTACCCCCTGAAAATGGAGCTGCCTGACGGGGGCAAGGAAAAATGCCTTGTTCTGGGAAGTGGCAACTCTTGGCACACCTGGATCTCAGTGCAGACCTGCTTGGCCACTACACTCAGAAATGACTGGGAACAAACCCCAGTGAGCAGAACTTACGGATGCTACTGGTAGGGCAAGGTCATTTGGAAAAGGGCTTTGTGCATGTGATATGACAGCTGCCACAGGGAGGGAGTTTTCCTTCTCTGGGAATGTTTCCCAGTTCTCCCTCTCATGTTTCTCAGCCTCCAGAACCTCCTGCCTGTAACTCCTCACCTTCCCTCAGCTTGCAGGATGGCAGTGTAAGTAAAACATCATTCTTTTTTTTCCTGTGTCCTATCTCCCCCCGGCGCAGTCTGTGCAGCAGCCCAGCTTCTAAGACCTTTCTACTCCTGCAGCTGCACCTAGGCTCCAGGTAACTGGAGATCTCCTGGTGTCTCTGTACCTTGCGGCACGATCTCCTACCAGCCGTGTGGGGTGTGCAGCTGGGGGTTGCAGCCTGAGGCTGAGCAGGGCAGCCCCACTGATCACATACTCTACAAAGTTGCTGCTGGAAATCTGCAGCTCCCAGAAAGGCAGCGGGAGCTGGGGCTGGGAGAGAGGCAGGAGCATAGCTGGGAGCCAGCACCCTGCCCTGTTCGCGGGCAGAAAGCTGCCCAGAACCCGTGTGTCGAGCTGCAGGTTCCTCCTGCACCACCAGTGTTGCCATCTCGTGTGGCTCTATTATAAGTGCCGTGACATTAACCCCCAGTTCCCGGGATCAGGTGGTTACATGAGATTATAAGGGTTTGTTTCAGATAAATTCATGCTCAGTTTCTATGGCTGCACAGAAAAGCTGAGGCGTAGGTCTCTTGTGGGTTCAAATCCTAAACTTGAAGCTTAAGTGGTTTTTCTGTGAGTGCTAAGCTGTTACTGGGCTGGATTCTTGTGCTTAACAAATGCACAGATACTTCTTTTTTTTGAAATTTCTCCAAAGCTGGAACAGTTGCTATTGGGTGCAGCCCAGCCCAGCTGCCTGTTAGGCGTGGATTCAGGTGAAGCACCAATAGCTCCGGAATAGCGAGGGACCGGCGCTGTGTGGAGGGGGCCCCACGTCCACCAGCCCCGGGGCCTGGGGGTTATGATTGGAGTCAGCTTTTGGGGAGTGCTCTGGACCCCTCAGCGTTCCCCACACAGCCAGAAGCAGCGCATTTTTGCCCAGAGCAGTTCCCTTGCAGCGAACCTTTGTCTTTGTATCAGGACGTCCAAGAAACCCTCCAGTTGAGCCGAGGACTCAGCCTTGGAGCTGGGGCAGCAGCCGGTACGTGCAAACCCTCTCTGCGGGACGCTGGCAGAGCGAGAGACATCGGCTCTGGCCTGCAGCCCTGGTGGCTTTTGTCCTGTCCTCGCTGGCAGGCTCCTCCCGCGGCACAGGCGGAGGCAGGAAATCCCGGGCAGCTGCCGTGGGAGCCCGCTTGCCTCTTGTCTCCTCTCCTCTCCTCTGCTCGCCTCTGCTCCTCGCCTCGCGGGCCGCCAAGGCGAGCCGAGCCAGCCCTGCGTGTGTGTGCATGCGTGGGCGGGGGGGCTGCCGCATGGATTTAGCGAAGGCTGGGAGGGAACACATGGGTTGGGTGTTTTTTTTCTTGGCCTGCGGTGGCTGTCCGTCCTGCCGGCCGCGGTTATGGATTCGATCATTATCCAGGAGCGGTTAGTGGAGAGGCTGCTTTCCCCCCGGACGCAGGCACAGCGAAGCCACCCGGCCAGGCTGAAGGTACGGGGATGTATTTATAGCGCCCTGCGAGCCGGGGAGCAGCGGGGACAGGCAGGGGGAGGATGGTGCCCGAGCAGATGTGTGCGGCACAAGATGAGACCTCCGAGGAGCAGAGCAGCGGAAGGAAGCTGGTAACGGGGACACGGCCGGGGACAGAGAGCCAGCGGGCAGCTCGGGGAGGGGAGCAGCCCCGCGGGCGCAGGAGCAGGCTGGCCAGCTGGGAGATGCATGCCTGATTTCTGGGCGCTTATCTCACGCAGCGATTCCTGCCCTGAATGGCGTGTGTGTGTGCTTGGGGGGGCTCGGGGCACAAGCCAGGGCTGTGCGTGTGCCCCAGAGCAGCCTGGTTTGCGTTGTGTTAAAGCTGTGCTTTGCTTGCCGGTTTTCTTCCTGCTGCACCCAGCGCTGGTGGGCGGGCGGTTTTGCTAATGCTCCGTACTCAGCCCCGGGCCTGAGGAGGCAGATGTACATGGGGGAGCCCCTGGGGGTTGTTTGTGTCATGAATTTATGCAGCTTTCTGAGAACGAGAGGATGCAAAGGTCTGCCCCTCCTCTGGGAATGGGCCCTGCTGCTCCGTGCAGATGCGGATGTGGCGGCCGGAGGGGAGCAGCTGGAGGAAGGGCGGCCGGGAGAGGGCCGGGCAGCTTCTGCTGTCATGGGCACAGGGCCCCTAAGCAGGGAACTGCAGCCCCCCAAAGTGCTGCAGCTGGCATCACGGTGGCATCATGCTCTGTAGGGTTCGGAGGAAGGGTCTGAACAGAATATTTGGGGCCTTGGTGGGGACAGGTTCATCGGGACCCCGGCACAAGCCTCACCATTTCTGGGGTTTGCTCCAGAGACAGGGTAGGGGCCGTTCTTCAGATTTTCTGTAATCCTATGGTGTTTAATTTTAGCACTTCTGAATGCACTCCGCAAGCCTCATTTATCCCCAGAATAAGTGGCAAAGTCACGTGAGATCTGGATTGCTTTGAGCAGCTCATGCACAGGGGAGGTGAGGAAAGGATCGGGAGTGATGGCGTCCTCGCTGCCTGCCTGCCTCTCTCTGGGGCAGTATGGACAGCCCCCAGGTACCTCTGTCGTGGGGATCTGTAGCCCAGACAGGGACAGGACCTGAACCCAGGGGTGCTTTGTTCCTTGGCTTGACCTCACTGTGTGCCAGGGAGCCTCAGCACCTCGGCGGGGTGGTGGAGGATGCGAGGACACGGCGTGTCACCGTGATGTCCAGCGAACCGCGGTGCGTGTGCTGAGGGAGGAAGGCACAGACGTGTTTTGCTTGGCTTGGGAAGCTTTGGTTTGTAACAGGGCCCCAGAGGTCAGCCACGTTTTCAGTGGCCTCAGCTGTGGTGCTCAGGGTACGTTCCCAGGCGCAGGACACCAGTGGGAACAAAGGCAGCACGAGGAGGGGTGCTGGGGAGAGGGGCTCCGCGGAGCAGAGCGCTGCTGGCACTGCTGGTGGGGCTGCGTCCCGACAGCTGGGGCTGGCGAGGGAAGCAGAGCCCTGTGCCCAGCTGTCCTGGCCCCTGGCAGCCTGAGGGGAGCTGCTCTCAGGGGTCAGGAGCTCATGAAGGGCGCTGTGATGCCTCAGGAGGCCCCTCGGTCAAAGTCCCTCATCTAATTAATGGATTTTGGCTTCTCACAATGCAGGAAGCCACCTGCCTCCTTCCCCCAGCCCTCCCATCCCCCTTTGCCCCCTTGGGGCTCTGCGTCCTGAGCACAGTTGCTGTGCCAGCAGCCGTGCTGCGTGCTAACGAGGGCGGTGAGGGCGCAGAGCCTCCAGGAAGGCAGGCACCGGGCTCGGGAGGGCACCTGGGCTCCTCGCACACCACGCTGATCTTGGCACGCTAGTGAAGGTGGCTGTAACCCAGGTGTGTGCCTGTCACGAGAGCCTGACACGGCCAGGGTGGGAGCACACACACTGGGTGCCTCACAGCCGGGGAAGAGCCACGGGACAGGCTGGCTGTGGTGCAGGGGCTGTTCCTGAGAGCTGGGCTGTTAAAGGATGTGATCACCCCTCTGGTGGCCCCACATCTCTGGCCTTTCCATTCACGGACACGCTGGCTGCCACCGGGTCTCCACAGTGCGTCTGTGGCTGCTTGGAGGGAGGCACGGCCAGGGACGGGGCCCTTCCCCTCGCATCCCTGCTGCCTCCCGCTGCAGGAGGGAAGCCCTTCCCTTGACCTTGTGCTCAGCCCTGCTCTGCCTTACTGCAAGGGAAATGACCGCATGAGCCATGGGAAAAGGGCAGCATCCTGCACCAGCTGGGATTTGCTCGCTTCTTGCGAGCTATGGGGAAGTAACCGGAGCTACAACAAATCCCCATTTTCTTGGTTGGGCTGAACAGAAACAAGAGATCAGGTTCAGCCAGTTGCACTTGGCTGAAGTAAGCAGGGTTGCACCAGAGCTCAGCTCCCCAGTATCTCCACTGTCAGCCTTTACTCACCTAGCTTAAAAAGCAAGGAAGCAGAAACACACCCCAATCTCAGCCATGGTTTTACTGTGTGTGCCTATTGCTGTTTGGCATGTAAAGTCACTGCAGCGGGCAGGAAATCGCTGCCTTTCCAAAGTCTGGTAAAGGTTGGTGCAGGTCTCTTACCTGCTCCTGAAGCACAGCTTGGCTGCACGAGAGGTGCAAGGGGCAGGGCACTGTGTATCTGTGCCGCTCGCTGCTCCGTGCGCTGCAAGGCACGGGCTGTTATTGTGCACCTGGGTTGTGCTTGTGTTTCACCAGGAACCAGAGCAGCCAGAAAGGATGGAAGGGGGACGTTTTATCTTGTTTTCTTGATCTTGCTGTTAACACGTTTCTCACCCTGCCTTGCATACCTCGTGTCCTCCCTTTGCAGAGCCTTTTGGGTGGCCGTGCAGAGTCTCCAGGCAGATGTTGCTTTCCGGCAAGTGGCTGCCATCACCTTTCATCCTGGGGCCTCACTGCTTGCTGCACTGCTGCTGTGGGATGCTAATGTGGGCACTCTCTAATTCTCTAATTTGTCAGGGCTAAAGAGACCAATTCTGAGACCCAAACCAACAGTGAATTTCTAGAAGGCAGTGACAGTGTCTGTCCTGCCTGAGTGCTACACAGGAAGAGCTGAGAGCCAGCACTGCCCTAAGCTTGACACGCAGGGCAGTGACCTATGTGAGTGTGTGCCCAGGAATGGAGCCAGGGAACCTGGGGAACCTGGGGAACCTTCCCCACCGTGCCTGGAGAACCAGTGCCAGAGAGCCGCAGGGAGGGTGGCTGGGTGGTGTCTGACCGGGTGGGAGCCAGGGCTGGTTCTGAGGAACTCCTGGCTCCGGAGATTTGCCTGTGGTGTGAATCCCAGGGTGTATTTATCCTAAGTGATGTTGTCTGGGATGTCTTTAGCTTAGGCATTTGGGTCTAGCTTGGAAATTATGTGAGAAGGGAGGTGTTTGCCAGGGTCTGTGCCCACCCTTCAGCTTCGGCAGGCCCTGGGGAGGGGAACACATTGCTGCGGGGGGAGCAGGCTGCGAAACCCTGGGGCCGCTCAGGTGGAGCTGGCTGGAGCCGTGCAGCCCGCAGCTACCTGCAGCCACCCGAGCTGTGGGCGGAGGACTGTGTGCTGAGCCCAGTGGGGAGAGTAGCTGGAGCAGGGCTGTGAACCCCACGAACGAGCTGTGTTCACCTTTGGGGTGCACCCCGGGACACGGCACAGGCTGTTTGCTGCTGGCCGCAGGATGTTGCTGTGTGCAGGAGGTGCCGCTGGACGTGCTGCTCCTTGAGTGCGCTTGGTGAGCTTGTACAGGGCCCACAGCGGGTGGCTGCGGCTTTTCTGTGGTGAGAGAGTGCTGGGTGACAGGGCGGTGGTAGGGCAGTAAGGAATCCTCCAGGAACACCGCGTGTAACACGGGCACCCATCGCACCTCTCCTAGGCAAAGAGCCTGCGCATCTTCCCCCATCCTGCACATCTTCCCCCATGCCGTGCCCCTTGAACTTTTGTCTCTTCAGAAATAACACCAGAGATTATGCAGGATTTCCTCTTACTCAGCCAGGAGTGGCTGTGACACAGCAAGAAATAATCCCCTCCCAGGTCACGCAGAAGCCAACCACTATGCCTTCATCGGGCCGTGGCTCAGGACACCTCCAGCCCCTCTTGCTAATTACACCGAGCCCTCCACTGGGAGAGGTGCCCGAGTGGGTCTGAAAGACCTGGGGAGCGGTGACTGTGCAGAAGCAGCAAAGGGCTATGAGGTGTTTGTCAGCCCTGCCCCAGCTGTGCTGTGTGGGGGGGAGGCAGGCTGTGCCTGGTCGAGCAGTGGTTGCACGGAGGTGGCTCTCGGTGCCAGCAGGCACCTGCAGGGAGGGCAGGAGTCCCTGAGCCTAGTCCCTGAGTCCCACGCTGCTGCTGGGACAGGGACCCAGCCTTCCTCCACCCTTTGGCTCTGCCTCGGGGCTTTTCGAGTGCTTTGAATCCCGCTCAGTGTTGCTTTGTAATGCTCAGGCAGGAGTGGTGGCACACCCTGACCTCCTGCCCGCCTCTGCCCCGCAGGACCATGAGAAGCAGTACGTGGGCTTTGCCACTCTGCCCAACCAGGTCCACAGGAAATCCGTGAAGAAAGGTTTCGACTTCACCCTGATGGTTGCAGGTGAGGCTGGGGTGGATGGAGGAGGCTGGGCTGCACGGTGGGTGTGTGGAGGGGCCCGCCCTGACCGCTGGTAGCCCTCTCAAGTGAGCACTGGGCTTCATCAGAGCGGCTGGGTGGGCGGTGAAGGCAGGGCCAGCCAGGACCTGAGGGAGAGGAAAGGAAGGGAGGATGGTTTTGTACAAGGATTGAGATTTCTTGCAGCAGAAGGCCTCCCACTGCTGGAGAAACGTAATGCCCATAAACAGCTCCAGACAGCTCATATCTCACACTTCCTCTGGCTCAGGATTCAAAGCCTTGTTCAGCGTTTCATTTGTAAGTCAATTAGTGGGTCATGTTGTTTGCTTTTCCCTCCTCCCCTCTGCACTCTGTCAATTAGGAGAGTCGGGTCTGGGCAAATCCACGCTGGTGAACAGCCTGTTCCTGACGGACCTCTACAAAGACAGAAAGCTCCTCAATGCGGAGGGTAAGTTGGGGCAAAGGGGGTCAAGTGGGATCTTGCATCCCCAGGTCTGTAGCATCCTAAGGACCAGTCCTTTGGCGCCTCGCTTCAGCAGCAGCTACAGCTTGGCTGGATCCCAGCCCTGCCTTTTGTTGCTCTGCTCTCCTTTGCTGGCTGCAGGGGCACTAGGATCCAAGCAAGAAGGGTCTGGCTGTAGGGTTCTTCTGCCCTATGAAGGGGAGGTGAGGCTGCAGAGCAGCACTAACCCTTTGGGTTGAGAAGTTGAGATTTGTCTTTTGTTCTTGGGTGCCGGTGTGTGGTAGGGATTCCTTTTCCCAGTGACTGGACATGTTCAGATCAGCTGGGCTACAAGCAGTTGGAAAGTTTGTGTGCCCTCTCAGAGGCCTGTCTGCCTGCTGCTGGTCTCCCTCACCACACCTCCCCTGAGGCTCCTTAGAGGACGATCAAGGTCTTCTGACACCCATGTTAGTCCCTGGGCTGAGTGATAAGGGGGGAGCATCTTGTCGTGGGTGTGAGTTGGGATCCCCACCATTACCTGGCCTTAACTCATGTATTCCTGTTCAGAGAGAATCAACCAGACAGTGGAGATTGTCAAGCATACGGTGGACATAGAGGAGAAGGGCGTCAAGCTGAAGCTGACCATAGTGGACACACCAGGCTTTGGAGATGCTGTTAACAACACTGAGTGGTGAGCAGGCCAGCACTGCCTTCCTCCTCAACTTTGGCCACGTCTGTTTTCTGTGGCTGCTTCACAGGAAGGGGTTTGGCAGTGGGGATGGGATGCTGCTGCCTCATAGTCCCTGGAGACAGTGTCCTGATACGCGTGATTTGGTTTTGATCGAGTTCTCCTTCCCAGCTGGAAGCCCATCACCGACTACATCGACCAGCAGTTTGAACAGTATTTCCGTGATGAGAGCGGCCTGAACAGGAAGAACATCCAGGACAACCGAGTACACTGCTGCCTCTACTTCATCTCGCCCTTCGGGCACGGGTGAGGCACCCCGCTCCGGGGATGGGGAATGACTCAGGCTGGGGGGGAAGACCCTTGCGCCCCAGGATTGCCTCACAGCGTGTTGTACAGTGTCCAGGCTGCTGACACAGGTGCAGAGCCATCAGCTGCTCCCCTTGCTGAGCACTACACAGCCTCCCTCCTCACTGACACGACAGCCTGTGGTCAGGCAGAGCTGATCAAAACCAGGCCACAGGCCTGAGAGAGAAATCAGGGGAAGCAGTGCCACACAGACTTGTATCTTCCTATCTACCTAAGCCTGACTGATAGGTAGGAAAGGGAGTTTTAAGCTGCCTTCAGTCCCTGCCAGACCCTGCTGGCTTGTGTCCCAGCCTAGCGTGGAGCAGCCGTGCTGGCACCCTGCAGCACAGGGCAGCCAGGAGGAGGTCTGTGGCCGTGGCCTGGGCAATATTTGTTCTGTAAGGTGAATGCTCAGCCTGTGTCTGCATGACATGTCTCAGCATCTGAAATCTGAGATGGCTTTCCTGAAGATACAGCCCTAGCTGAGGGCTGCCCCAGACTCTTGTGACAGTGCTGTCCTCTTCCCTTCTTCCTGGGGCTAGTGGGTGAAGTGGGAGAGGCTGGAGGGGGAGCTGCCCGCTGTGTCCTGGCTCACCTTGCTAACCACGTCTCTCCTCATTCCTGCTGCAGGCTGAGGCCTGTGGATGTCGAGTTCATGAAGGCTCTGCATGAGAAGGTCAACATTGTGCCGCTCATTGCCAAGGCTGACTGCCTGATCCCCTCTGAGATCCGGAAGCTAAAAGAGAGGGTGAGATGCTGCTTCCCTACAGGGGCATACCTGATGTGGTGGCGGGGATATGCTGAGAAAGGAGAAAAGCAGTATGCCTGCAAAAAAACTTGTGTGTGTATGTATTTATAGTGTCTGTGTGTGTATATATATACGCATGCACACATATATAGTACCTGCAGATCTAATTGCAGCAGTGCTACGTGATACCTGTGAGAAGGGAAGTGGTGTCTGCAGAGAAGCCAACTCTACAGGAATCATGGCAGTACAAACAGGGAAGAGACTCAGCATTTCTGTGTCGTTCAGTGCTGCATTTTTTGTTGTTCTTGTCTTGCATGGACGCAGATCCGGGAAGAGATTGAGAAATTTGGCATTAAAGTATACCAGTTTCCTGAGTGTGACTCTGATGAAGATGAGGAGTTCAAGCAGCAAGATAGAGAGCTGAAGGTAAGGAGTCAGTTCAGCAAGGGACTGAGGAGTCTGTCCCTTGGGTACACCGGTTGCTCTGGAAGGAGCTGGAGCTGCCCTGTGTGTGCCACAGTCCCGTGCTGTGCTGCCGGTACGCAGGAGGCAGCCTGTATTGGCTCATGTGGTAGGTGGACTGGAGAAGAGGGCTGATGTCCTTGCTGGTGCCATGAAGTGCAGCGTGAAGACACGGGACTTCAGGTGTCCTGCCACGCAGTGCCAGTCTTTCCTTGGTGTACCCCAGCCTGTGTGGTTAAGATGGAGGCTGGGCTGTATGACACATGTGAGCACCCATTTCTGAGTGAACAGTTTGTGGGTGAGGAGGCCTCATCCCCACTCTGATACCTCAGTTGTGTGGGGGACACAGCATTGTCGCACAGGCCTGGCTGGAGGCCCCAGCAGCCCAGGCCTGACCCTTTCCTAAGCTGAGCCAGCCGTGCGTGTGCGTGCAGTATGGCCTTGTTTCTCCTGCCAGATGAAGGCAATGGGCTCTGAGCAGAGAGGAGCACAGCCTGTACTTCCTTGCCTGGATGAGCTCTCGACCTCCATTGTCCCACTTGTTTGGTGTCCCAGCCTCTCTGCTCTGACTTCCTTGTAGTGTTTCCCCTCAAAAAAGAGATGCAGGCACCTGCAAAGACACAGCTTCCCTCAGGAGAGCTGAGAATGTCAGGCTGGGAATCAAGCTGCCTTCAGATCCCAGTGCGTGAGGCTTTTCTCCATAATCGCGTTGTGCTGTCTCATGCTGTGGGATGTGTGGATATCCCTGTGCCTTTCCTATCAGTGCCTTCATCCTCCCGTTCTGCTCTGCCTGAGCTTAGCCCTCGGAGGAGGGATGTGTGGGCAGCCCCGGGCTCAGCGATGCCTCTTGTTCCAGGAGAGTGCTCCCTTTGCTGTCATCGGCAGTAACACAGTGGTGGAGGCAAAAGGCCAGCGAGTCCGTGGACGGCTGTACCCGTGGGGCATTGTGGAAGGTAAGCACGGTGCCTGCGAGCTGGCACTGAGCACAGGGCAGGGACAGAGTTGGGCACGTACAACAGGGACTGCAGTGGGGAGTTCACCCCTGTGCAGCCTTGAGCAGCTGTTGACCAACTGCACGACCTTTGGCACGTGGCAGGGGACAAGGTAGGGTACAGAGAGGTGCTGGGAGCTGCCTGCTCTGCTGCTGCGTGCAGAGCAATCACCCTGCCTCTGGAGCCAGGGTGCATTGTGCAACACACGTCCAGGGAGGAGCCTGAATGTGGTGCCACTGCTGTGGGGATGGAGCCGAGGCTGTGAAGGTTCCTTCAAGCTGCAGCAAGACCTAGAGGAGAGGGCAGGAGGGCTGCCACACAGTGTGTTTGTCTCTTTGTAGAAGTTCTCCCCTTCTAAATGAGAAATTTCATAGGTAGAAAAAGCCTGCAATGTTTTTTCCTGCTGTTGCTGACTCCCCGTGCTGGCATGTTGCTTTAGATCTTGGAGCTTTCAATCCCCAAATCCTCTGCACTTGTGGGTTGGTGTCAGCTGCTTGGGCTGCCCAGCTGCTCACTCTTCTCTCTTGCTGTCTCCTGAGTGGGCTGTACCTGTCAGTGCTGGTAGTTGGCAGTGAGATCAGCTTTGTGAGACCCTGGGCTTCACACAGCCAGCTTCCCCCAGCCCTGCAGAGAGAAATGCAGTACCCAGCTACCAAACACGCTTCCCCCCTAGACTCCCACAGGGCTGCCTGCGGCCTGGCTATCCATGGTAACAGCAGCTTTTTCAGCTCTAGCCCATTGCTTGCTAATGGCTCTGCTCCTCAGGGGCTGATTCAAGATCTCTGGTGTAAACTATCCTGCCTACAGCGGCCTTTCAATCAGTGCTGAGCTCTGAGGAGATGGCCGTTTTGTCTCCAGCAGTTGCTGTTTTCACTGGGGTTATAATAATGACATCCACTGTACCTGGAGCAGCATCCTCTCAGGGCTCTGCTATATGTGCTTAATTAATCCTCTTACCCAGAAAAAGTCCTGGGAACGCAGTGACCTCGGCAGCCTGGCCTCAGGGTCGAAGAGCACAGAGCTCCATTAAGGCCTGTGCTGGGGCCGGGGGGGGGAGTGGGGATGGATGGGAAAGGGGCCCTTGGGGGAATTTTATTTTTGGTGCAGAGGAGGGACTCCCTGGATGGGGCCGATGAGGTGTGACATCCAGGTGCTCTCCTGGTTTTGCTTTGCAGTGGAAAATCAGGCGCACTGCGACTTTGTGAAGCTGCGGAACATGCTGATCCGGACACACATGCACGACCTGAAGGATGTCACTTGCGATGTCCATTATGAGAACTACCGAGCCCAGTGCATCCAGCAAATGACCAGGTGGGTCCCTCACTTTGCCTGCGGGTTGGAGGGGGATCTCTCTCTCTCTGTGGAGAAGGAACCACTTTTTCAGAACAGCTTCTCTGGGGAATGGCAGTGGGAAGTAATACAGCACATCCGAGCTTGTCTCCCACGGCCTTAGCTCACGGTGAGGATGCTTCTCAGAACCCATGTTCCTGTCCAAGGAGTCCCCACACAGATCCTGGGAAATAGGCCTGGCCGTAAATGGTCTTCAGAAGAGCTGTTCCTAGCACTGGGTGAAATACATCCAGCCTAAAGAAACACGAGATAAACCATTTCTCTGGTGGATTACTGCTGTGTGCATTGCCAAAGAAGGCATTCTGCAATCTGCAGTTCTGTCCAAAAGACAGCCTGACCCTTGGGATGCTGCTGTTTCTCAGACAACAGAACCCAAGCAATTAGCAGTAGTCTCATCACATCTCCAAAGATTGCTCTGCATTATCTTGCTGTTGCATTTGATTCTCTGTAGTTTTAATCAGAAAACAGAGCACACTCACGGGCTTTTCATTTGGAAGTCATATCTTTTCCTTCTCCCTTCCATGACTGAAATATTGGTGACACGTTTTAGGTTTAAATAGATTTTGGCTCTTCTGTTGTAAACCATCCCCTTCACTTCCTGCCTGAGCTGGCTGGGTGACCGTGTGCTGCCACGTTGCAGAGCAGAAATAGCTGCACTGCACCGAGGAACAGCCCAGCGTGTGTGCAAATGTGCAGGTTGGCACGTTCTGCTCACACACGCTGTATCCCAGTACTTTTGCATAGCAGATGAGCCTGTCTTTTTCAACAGTGATAATAGGGAGTCCCAAAATAACCATGTGAAACACTAGAGATCTGTCAGAAGTGTCACAGTTGCTATTTAGACAGGCTGTGTATCTATTAAAAGAACAGAGTGGTGAAAAAGCAATTGCTCGGCTTAAAACTCTGGTGCTGTTGCTCACGCCATGGCTGGTTCTTTCTCAGAAAAACCAGCGTGGCTGTTTCTAGCAGTGGGATACGGGTTCTTCTCTGAAGAAACTTTTGGGAGGAGATACCAAGCTCCAGAGCTGGAATTGACTCAATAATGAGCAACTGGTGACTCCAAGTGGTGAGAGCCAGAAAGTGGCAACTTGAGTTCCCAGTTTTTCTATGGAGAGCTCCTCCAACTTTTGGAAGAAAGTCAACTCCTTCCTCTGTCCCCTGCCAGCCCTCATCACAATGCTACTGTGCCATGCCTGTTGTGTGCCATGCCTCCCCTCGAGAACAGGGACCAGGCTTTGTTATCAGACTTGCAGCAGTTAAACTGCTCCTCTGATTTTATTTTCCTTAAAAACAAACAAACAAACAAAAAAAACACCACAACATTGTGAACATGTGGCTGTAAATGTCCTTGCTAAATTTTCCAGTGCTGTTACATAAAGTGCTCAGAATTGCCAGCTCTTTCTGGCTGTTTTTTTTTGTTTGTTTGTTTTTTTCCTTGGTGTAATCCTGGTTTGGGTTTTCTCAGGTAGTTTCTCCGAGTGCATCCTACACCTATGTGCCAGATTGTCCCCATAGCCCTTCCACGTGGCTGGGTGCACGTTCCCACATTGCTGGCAGGTCTGCCATCGTGAGTGACAGCCATCATGTGGTGACACCAAAGCCAGCCATCCCGAAGCATAACTGACTGCATTTCTTCCCTCTCTCTCTGTCTCTCTAGCAAGCTGACTCAGGACAACAGGATAGAAAGCCCCATTCCTATCCTGCCTCTCCCAACACCAGACACTGAGACAGAGAAGCTGATCAAAATGAAGGACGAGGAGGTGAGACCCTCAGAGCTGGCCAGCTTTAATATTGGAGCTGAAATCCAAGGTGTTTCCCCAGGATTGCCCCGCAGAGGCTGTCCTGGGGCTTCCCACTCCCGCTTCCCCCTGGGCTTCTCCTGGTGTGTAAGGCAGGACGTGGATGTTGTGCCCAGCTTCCCCCAGCAGGGAAACATGGCTCTGTTCCACTCCAGACACTGATGCTTCTGTGCTCAGGCAGGAGTTAGCCTTCTCTGAGAAATCCCTTTGCCACCCTCAAGGGTCTACCCCGTCACCCCAAGCCCGTTATGCTGTCAGCCAGCACCACTCGGGGCTCTCTTTGTCCAGGCCCTCTGCCTTGGCCAGCCACTGGGGCTGGTGGCGCCTGGCTGTCAGAGGCGTGATGCAGAGCCTGGGACTTGGCCCTGTGGCTTTGTGCGGTGCAGCGGGGATTTACTGGGCTCCCTGCCCAGCTGTCCTGCTGGGCTTGATGGACTTGTCACCTGCTGGCTGTGGCTGGGGGTGGGGGGAGCCAGAAACTCATCTCGTGGTGCCAGCCCCCAGTGCAGATCCCCAGCCCCAGCAGATCCGTCTTTGAGCGCCTCTCTTCTGTCTCATGCAGCTGCGGCGGATGCAAGAAATGCTGCAGAAGATGCAGCAGCAGATGCAGGATCAGTGAGATGCGGGTACCTGGAGGGCAAAGGGAACCCCTCAGCGACCAACCGAAGCCTGGCAAGAGCTGTGGACGTTTAAAAAGAGGTTTCCTGTTGTATAAAGACTTGTGGGCAAGAGCTGCACCCGCAACTTCTAATTTATTAGCAGCAGCGCTGGCTTTGCGGTCAGCTGGGTTGTGGAGAAGGCTGTTCACTTAACTGTTTACTGATGTGTATTTCTTTTTTTATTATTCTTTCTTTTCTTTTTTTCTCGTTTTGTTTTTTCAAAAGGAACTAGCCTGGGAAGTCTCTAAGGCATCCTAAAAAGGGGGGAAAAAAGGAAAAGAAACAGATCTCCCTTTCCCATGTACTAATCTCTTGTTTGGGAATGCTCTGGTATTTAAAGTCCTGGTTTCTCTGGTGTACGAACTTGAAGAATATCTGTGTCGATGCACGTAGATGTTTACTCCCACCTGAGGTGCTGTGCCCCCTTCCCCACTCCCCTTGTCCAGGGCCAGCACAAGCGTTGTAAAGGCAGACCTTCCCTCCTGGGAGTTCAACCTGCTCCGCCAGGGGCCAGATGTGGACCGGAGAGTAGGGACTGGGGGGTTCTTTGTGCACTGACCTGCCTGGGGGCCCGCTGCTTGTCTGGTTTCCTGCCCAGGTAATTTGGTTTGTCTTTGGTTGATGGTTGGTTGGCCGGGTTTGTTTTTCCTACGAACTCCAGAACTTTGCACTGAGTGGCAGGGAGCTGAGTCTGTCAAAGGGCTGGTTAGACGAAAACAGCTTCCGCTGCCCTCAGGTGTGTCTTTGTGGCAGAGAGGATGAGTTACTGAGGATTACCAGCAATGATGGGAGCGAACACCTCCCCAGCCTGCCAGCCGTGCTCTCCTCCCAAGGCAGGCTGGAGGGGCTGACAGAAGCACGACAGCGGGGCGCTGCGGTGGCTGGGGGAGGCTCTCTCATGGTTTAGCTCTGGTTGCTCTGAGCTTCTCCCGAGGAAAGGGGCAGTTTCTGAAGGCTCGTACCAGAGGTCTGCAAGCTGCCCGGCCAGGCAGACCGCTGCAGGGAGCCCGGAGTGACAGGGGGGGCTTGGAGAGCTGCTGTGGGTCAGTGTGGCAGGTACAGGAGCGTCACTGCGCTGAGCACAGCCCAGCAGACTTGGCGCTTCCTCCCCTGCCCTTCCCCTGAGCCTTGGCCCTTCTTCCCCACCCCAGTCCCCCTCTCTTCCTGTCTCAGTGCTGGGAAAGCTGGTGGATCTGCTGGGCAGAGATAAGAGCGCTTTTTTTGTAGCGGCTTCTGTCCTGTTTCTGCTTCCTGCAGTATTTTTAACTTCCAGTCCAGCCAGACGAGAGCCCTGGAGCGTGATGTGCCTGACAGGGCAGGACTCACCAGCAACGCTGCCGTGTGTGCAGAGCATCAGGGGCTGCTGGAGTGAGAGACATTTGGCTCTTCCCTCCAGCTCCACGGAGTGCTGCCATGGGCTGGACCCTTCTGCTCCTTTGGCTGCCAGCCCAATTTCCCTGTCTCTCTTCCCCATTTGTATCAGCTGCTCCATCTCAGGCTTTTCCCAGCAGATCTCCCTGGGCAGGAGGCAGCATGGGCCAGGAATAGCCAAGCCCTAAACTGTTGTTAGGTGCTGCGTTTATCTGACTCCCCCTGTGGGGCTTTAGAGCCCTGATCAGGGCTTGTCCAGGAGGTGCAGAGGCTGGCTGGGTCAGGTCATTCTCTGTACAGAACCTCTGTTCAACTAGAACATGGGCTGTAGGGGCAGGGGAGGCACCCCGACACTGTGCAAAGACAAAGCAAGACAAAGCCCACTGACAGAAACGTGCCAGCTGGGCAAGAGCAGCGCCCAAGGCAAACCTCTCCCAAGTGCCCTTCTGCTGCCTCGGAGGGGTGAGAGGTGGGGCAGGGGCACTGGGGATGAGCTCAGCAGGGCAGGGGTTGAACGCAGCTGTTCTGTCCCAACAATGTTTTTTTTCTTTCCTTCTCCCCTGTATTAGGCTCATAAGCGACATTGGGCAGTGCCAGCCTAGGAGAAGGAAAGGGCTCAGCCTGTCTTCAGTAACATGCCAGGGCCAGGTGCTTAAGGAGGAATTACAGCCCTGCTTTCTGCAATGCGTTTGCCTGAGCAATGGAGTAGCCTGAGGTAGGAGCTTCCTCCAGGTTTCCTGGAGCTGGTTTGCTGGAAGCGGGAGGACTGCTGAGGTCTCAGCTTCATCCATGGTAGTGTACCTGGAAACACCTTGCAGTACCTGTCCCCTCTCATTTCTTACATGAGTTTTGTCTGTTAGGAGAATGTTCTGTTGCAAATGAGCAAATTTCAGCTAAAGATGTTCCTCTTTCAGACAGATTCGTTCCCAGAAAAAAAAAAAAGCAGACCTTTACCCTGTAGCATGGACGTAAGAGGGCAGACAGCTTTTATCCTGTGCTGCGTGCTGGTGAGAGCACAGGGTACTGTGGTCACAGGCAGACAGGATTGCTGAGCGTGTATCTGCCTTGTCCCTCTGGGTGAGGAAGTCTCCATCAGCTCAGTGCACATGGCTTCTAGATCAAGTTGATAGCGTCAGCTCTGTTCTTTACAGAGACGAAGTCTTCAACTACCAGCTGTAGATGGCTTGAGCTGCACTTATTCAGAATGCACAGGAGTGAGGCACCAGAGACAGCTTCTACAGAGGGCAGGGGTGCTGCTGAAATCCACATCCCTGTGTCAGAGGTTCCCTGCCCAGGGCATCAGAGTTGAGGGCTGCCTGGCAAGCAATTAGGGACTGACTTTTTGGGGCACCAGGGATCCGGACTCTGGCCTGGAAGGTGACAACAGTTTATAAGAGGATGAATGTTTTGTGTTGTTGCATTGAGCTGTACAGTAAGCCAAGAAGAGACTCCCAAATAAATGCAGCTCAGCCGTTGGGCTTTGGCAGTGAGAAGTGGGGATAGGCAGGTGATCTGACACCTCCCCTCACACAAACCCTCCGCAGTCTCAGGTGCGACCCCTGCGCTCCCAGGCCCATTCTCATGCCTCTGCCAAGCCGTGCCCTGCCAAGCTGGGTGCAGCAGGGGCTGCGTCCCACCCCACAGAGCTGTCTGTCCCGGGCTGCAGCTGGGGTTGTTGGTAGGTCTCAGACCTTGTGCCTGACTAGGGAGGGAGCCGTGGCGTGAACTCCGTGTGTGCTGCTGCTGTGCTGGTCCTGCCTGTGTGGAGCTTCCTGCTGCCTCCCCGCATGCCTCCCCCCAGAGGAGGGGGTCCCACGTTTCGTGCTGTGCAATGGCGTTCCCTGCGCTTCCTCACAACCCCAGCTGTGCTCTAACACTGGCTTGCTCCTGCCATGTGACTTCCTCACCCCCCCGCTCCATTCCTAAGCTCTTCGTTTCCCATCTGTCTGTTGGGTTATTATAATATATATTTTTTGTAAATTTCTGTTGGAACATTTTGTCATTGTGAACAAAGAAAAATGAAACCTTTTAAAACATATCCATTTTATTAAATGATTATTATTGTTATTATTATTAATAATGTTTACTACCTGAATTGATCAGTGAAATAAATACATTCAAAAAAACAACCTTTCTGTTTTTTTTTTTTTTTTTTCAGTCCCCTTCAGCAGCATTGGTGATAAGTTATGGACAGGAGAGGGCAAAATTGTCTGTCCTTTTATCCAGTTCCATCAGAGCAGGCTCCAGGCAGGCATGGGATTTCTGGACTGTGTTTATGTCAGAGGCTAGACGAGATGATCCTGAAGTTCTTCTGTCTTTAAGCTTCCCCTAGGAGCGGTGTCTAAATCAGCAGTGAGCAGCTGGGCAGGATCCAATCCCAGGAAATCCACTTTGTGAGTAGCCAAAGAATCACTGCTGTCTGCTGCATGCACAGCCAGGCTGGGTCTGAACACCTGCCTGTGAATAAAGTAGCACCCAAATAAGCGAGATGTGGCTGTGGCTGGGCAAACTTACCCTACTGTAGTCAGGCTGCTCCCAAGCGTAATGCAGGCAAAAATGGGTTAGTTTGTTAGCCCAAGATTCCTTTGCCACTCTGCCTGCCTGCCACAGTGAAATGACTGGAATGATCTGCTCCAACCCACTAGAAGTGTAAAGCTTAATTGTTTTAGAGTATCACGAAGAGTGGTTAGGGACAAATTCTGCTTCTGTTTACACCCTAGATTCTCCTAACACCAGCACATTCAGGGTGTTCATTGTTTTTGCTCTGAACCACCAGAGCTCCCGCACGTTATGCTGAGTACTGTACACACTGCAAGGCAAGGGAGAGTTGGGCCCAGTGGGGCAGCAGTTTCACAATGCAGTTCTGGTGGCCTTAGCCTTTAGCATAGCTAACGGCCTAGAGCCAGGCCCATTGCAGAAAATGTCTGTGAAGGTGTGATGACCACAAGAAGACAAAATTATGCCTATATTTCCTGAGAATATTTTTGACCCTTGGACTTATCTGTTTGAGTATGTGTGTGATGCAAACTCTGAATGAAGGATGTGGTCAATTTTTCTCAGTAAATGCAAGCTCCACTTGTTGAAAGCTGCCAAGTCACTTGGCTATCAATAGAGCAGTCCGTTGGAACACTGCGTTCCCCGGTCTGTTGTCCTTCCTGTGGAACCAACCAACTTTATTTTGGTGCAGACAGTGAAATGCTAAGAGTTGTATTTTACCTCTAACAATCAAGAAAGGCTGTAAGCACATGGGGGTCTTCTTCCTTGGCTTAACCACTGACAGCAATGAGATCTCTGGAAATCCATTTCTTTCAGCAGACTTTACACTGCTGATTAGGAGTAGATGTGTGTCACTGCTTCAAGAGAAACCTCAGGGACAGCACACTGCAAAGTGCTAGGGCTCACCACTCTGCCAAATAGAGTCTTCCTGATGAGCTGGGAAACCAAAGGGCACGGTGCGCATAGACTGTAGAACAAACCGGTAACATCACCTTCTGTGTTGAAGTACGTTTTGAGTTACTACTTTGGAGTTGAGACTTTGTGATATTTCTGCTAGAATGGTGTTCTCCTTTGTCTCCTTGTCTGGCCTGCTTGGTTCTGTGCACCAGGTGTATGAACCCTGGCTCTATTCACAGTGAATCATCTTTAAAAGAAAAGGCCAGAAAAAATAGTGGAGAAAAGGGATGTCATGCAGAGGAAGTGACTCTGGACTAAATAAAAATGAGGTGCTTCCTCTTGCAGGTATTTTCTCTCCTTTAGTTCTCAACCTAGTGCTATTCAGGGATAAAAGACTACAAGTAAGGTGTGTTTCTTGAGCTTACAGCAAAGAGAAATAATTCAGGAAGTTTGTGAAACTTGCATAAAGTTGATATATTTACATGTAAGCGTACGGAAATTATCATAAGGCTTCACCCAGAGTTATTACATTCCAGCTGATGCTGAGCTCTATAAGGTCCCCAAATTCCATGGCTCTCTACAGAAATGCTGCTAGATTCAGCCTGATCCTCTCTTATTTCAATGCCCCAACTTCCTCCAGAGTGAAGGGAGGGGAAAGGTTCTCCCTGCTCACCAAACTGCACGGGAGCAAGGCTGAACAGCTGGCATTTGGAGCAGCCAGGACTGGAATTTCTGCATAGATTTGTTGCTGCTCTACATGGCTGTGAGGCCAACTTGGCACATACAAGATGCTGATTGTGAGCCCTTAGGTGCTCAACATACGAAATTAAATTGTCTTGTTCCAAAGGGCCAGAGGAAAAAGCAGAGCACTTGGACCCACAAGAGGATTCCTCAAGCAGTCTGTGACTGTGCTGGCTGTTAAACGGGCACGTGCTAACAGCTGTGCTTTATCTCTTTTGTATTTCCAAGAGCCAAAGGCTCAAACCTGAGAAAATAACATGGAGGAAGCTCTTCTCATCCACTTACAGTGGTGAAAGGCAAAGTCTTCACCCTGCAGGTATTTTGCCTGTACAAGAATAACAAGGAAACACTTGGGCAGTATATTTTGCTGTCATCATCCTCAGTGTACTTGAATTCATTGCACTGCTGGTCTACTTGTTACCTAGAGCATGTGGGCACAGAATCAGAGTTATCGGTGCTGTCAGCATCTCTGCCAGCAAATGCATTCTTGCAAGCAGTGCCAGCTCCCATTTCTTGGCAGACTTGCTCAATGAAGACTCGGCTTCCGGTGACATGCAGCAAACTTGCAGGAAGGCCTCATGTGGGAGGTGTCCCTGGGATGAGCCTGACCCTTATCTTGTGAGCCAGCTGCAAGGGGATTATTCGGGGGTTCAGCTATGCAGCTGCAAACACTCCTGCACTGACTGGACTGCCTTAAGACCTTTGTCTTGTGTTGTAAAGCCAGCAAGAAAGCAAGGATAGATCTGCCTTGGTAAGACAACAAAGCTACATTCTGCCCTTTCTCTCTCTTTCTCTTTCTTTCTTTCAACAGATTGCATGAAATAACTGTGCCTCATTGCAGGCACGTGTAGTATTCTCTTAAAGAAGTTAGAGCAGGCTGTGTTCAGTGATGGCATAAGACTGCAATACAAAGACATGGGTCAATGAATTGTCTCTCAGCACTGTCTCAGCTTCAGATTATGCATCTGCAGGAGCAATGTCTAGTGTGAAAAGCTACACAGATCTCCTCCCAATAGTCAGCACCCTCTCTATTGCCTGCAGACTGTTTTATCGTGTCTATGCAAAACTGGAAAGACTATTTTTTTTACTTGTGGTAACAGTAAATTTATTTCTGAATCTCCTCTTGCAGTTGACAACAAAGTTTTGCTTACAGATGTAATTCAGTGCTATGATAAGGCATGAGCAGTTTCATAGTCTATTTTTTTACTTCCTGACAAGAATTTTCTTGGTTTCCCCTATAAATTGTTCTGTAGTAATGCTGAAAGTACCAGCAACTCTTGTATGCTTCTGAGGACTAGTGAAAATTAATTTGATGGCTGCAACTAAGCCTCCCAGCATTCATCTGCTCACATTTGGAAAGACCAGAAGTATTGCCTTTCTTGTAATGAAAGACCAAGATTTTTCACACCTTTTTTAACTCTGTTCTTTTCAGATCTCTGTAGTCCTAAAGTCTGTGGTGTCTATTTGCCCGATCTCCACCTCACCCACTCTCAGTGGGGGAGTGTTTGCAGGTGAAGATGAGCAGAGGGATTCTCTTCTTGCCCTTCCTTGGCTTCCTCCCACTCGTGATACCTACATGCCCTCTGCGATGCAAGTGTGCCACCAACATTATTGACTGCACGTCAAAAGGCCTAACTGTAACAAAACTACCTGTTGCTTTCCGGCCATCAGCTGAAATTATCAACCTTGCTTACAATAGTCTCACCTCTATTCCCAATGGGCTCTTTGACAACCTAAAGAACCTCCAGATAGTCTACTTGCAGGGCAACCCTTGGGAATGCAACTGTGACATCCTCTATTTGCGCTCCTGGCTCCAGTGGCAGCAGAACCGGACCTTTTACAGGGATGTGAGATGTGCTTCCCCAGCTCACCTTCAGGACCGGATCATCGCTTATCTGACAGAAGATGAGCTCATTTCCACATGCCAGCACTGGTACTGCACGCTGGCTCTCCTCTCTCAGCTCTTTCTGTTAATCTTCCTTTTAGTCCAGGCTATCTTGGTCATTTTCATCATTTGCTACCTGCGGAGATTTCGGAGAATGACTGCCAAAACCTGGAGTACCAGCCAAGATCTACACCAGCATGCAGATACCTAGCCCCTACAACAGTGATTAACATCAGCAGAGTGAGGGTCCCAGTCCCCCTTGGATGTTGCTATGCCAAAGCCATGTGGGTTGTGATACCCAGAGGGGACTGTTTAATGCAGCATCTGATCCTGACTGCAGTCCAGAGCAGGACTTGGAACTGATCAGACACTTGCTGTGTTTCCAAAGAGCTGATCTTGTGCTTCTTAATTAATGCTTTTTTAACTCTTCAGCATGATCTTCACTGCTTTGCTGAACTGGAAGTAGTTCTGGTTTGGTAGACTATGGAAACCATAAACTACAGCAACCAGAACTGACTCAAATGGCTCACAAGCTCTTGGGCTGCAGTGCTCGGTCCCCTCTGTGCTGGCATATTTCAGCAGTGCTCAGTCCCCCCTGTGCTGGTGTATTTCAGCTGTGCTTGGTCCCCCCTGTGCTGGTGTATTTCATCTGTACTTTCCACATGCTTGTGGTTGCACTGGGTCAGGCCAGGACAGAGGTGGAGGGTGAACTGGATACTGGACTAGGACAGCAGAAAAACACACTTTCCTTGGTGCTACCACTGAATGCTTTGGTAACTTTGGATGAGCGATTTAAGTCTTCTTCTGCCTCAGTTTTCCCTCAGTAAAACAGAAAGGATGTTTGTTTCTTCTTGCTTTCTTCTTGCCTCATGTGTATGTTTTATTTTTCTTCTGTGGGAGAGAGGGGGAACGTTTAATAGCCTACCCATTTACCCCATCTTCATTCTTTTTAATCTCCTGCTAGTGTTAATACTGACTTCAGCTGTCCTGAGTCAGAGCGAGCCCCACTGTTCCCGAGAACCCTCCCAGGCCCGGGGCTGTGGCACCAGAGGCTCCTCGGGGCCATGTTGGTGCCGCCGTCCCCACAGAGACCCGCG